CCCCCGAGCCCCCCCCTCCAGCTTTATTTGTTTTCAAACAGTCCCCCTGACGCCTGCGCACGTGTTGAACAGAAACAACAACAACATCAACAACAACAAATCCAACAACAACAACAACGACAACGACAACAACAACAGCGACAACAACAAATCCAACAACAACAACGACGACGACGACGACGACGCGCTGCACCCTCCCCCCGGGCCCCCCTCAAAGCTTTCTTTGTTTTCAACCAGTCCCCCTGACGCCTGCGCGCGTGTTGAACAACAACAACAACAGCAAGAACAACAAGAAATCCAACAACAAATCCAACAACAACAACAACACCAGCAGCAGCAGCAGCAACAACAAATCCAACAACAACAACAACAGCAGCAACAACAACAACAACAAGAAGCGAAGCAAGTACCTTTGCTTGACTTTGGGGGGAGGCGCTGCGCCCTCCCCCCGAGCCCCCCTCCAGCTTTCTTTGTTTTCAAACAGTCCGCACGAGTTCGTCAAGCGGAGTGACTTGCCTTGTCTCACCTAGATTTGTCATCTTGTGCTGAACGACACCTCACAACACACCCAACAACAACAGCAGCAGCAGCAGCAACAACAACAAATGCAACAACAACAAGCGAAGCAAGAACCTTTGCTTGACTTCGGGGGGGGGCGCTGCGCCCTCCCCCCGAGCCCTCCTCCGGCTTTCTTTGTTTTCAAACAGTCCCCCTGACGCCTGCACACGTGTTGAACAGCAACAACAACAACAGCAACAAAAACATCAACAACATCAACAGCAACAACAAATCCAACGACAACAACAACAACAACACCAGCAGCGCGCTGTGCCCCCCCCCGAGCCCCCCAACAACAACAACAACGACAACAACGACAACAACGACAACGACAACGACAACGACCACAACCACAACCACAACCACAACCACAACAACCACAACAACCACAACAACCACAACAACCACAACGACAACGAGAACGAAAACGACAACCCCCCCTCCAGCTCTCAAAAAGTAAGGGCCGGGTGTCCAACAGAGGTTGGAGGTTAAAAAGAAAGGTCGGGGGTTTAGAAAAGCAAGGTTGGGGGGTTAAAAAAGAGAGGTTGGGGGGTTAAAAAGAGAGGTTGGGGGCTAGAAAAAAGAGGTTGGGGGTTAAAAAGAAGGGTCGGGGGGTTGAAAAAAAGGGTGGAGGTTAAAAAAAAGAGGTTGGGGGGTTAAAAAAAAGGGTTCCCAAAGGATGTTCTGCCAGGTTTGGGGACACCGGAGACCCCATCCATCCTACAACTTGGAACCTAGACCCTAGACCCTCCAAGGAGTGGTACCTACAGTGCCCCCCTTGCCTCTCCATTTTGGTCGGTCTGAATAATTCCAATGGTTCGTCCAACCTACAGGAGCACTACCAGATTCATGGTTGCACATGGCGGATGCCCAAAAGCCTCAGAGGAACCCCATGCGGGTTGGACGTCCAGGTCGTGACCCTCCGTTGAAAAGCCGAAGCGGACGGCCAGGTGATCCTGAATGCTCACCTGCGCTGTGCCTTGGCATCAAAGAAGATCCTTCAGAAGGCGGGGATCCCTAGCTCAAGTGCTATGTCTTTCTGTGAAGCTGGATGAAGCTGGCGTGAAAGATCGTGAAAGAGACAAGAGTGGATGCCGCTAGATGAAGCTAGTCATAAGTCAAGTGATTTTGGAACACTTTCACGAGAGGGATTCAGAGATGGTTCTGCAAAGGCTATAGGCTTCAAGAAGAATCACACCCAAACTTCCTCCAGTTGTCAGATCACTGTAGTGAATGGGATCAACAGCTTAGGCAGCTAGAGTAGAGCATGCCCCAATTGAAGGGTAGAAAGGCTTCTTATAAGAGTGATATATACTCCCTTGACTTTGCCACAATGGCTACGCATGACATGAGCTATGTCACATGTGCGGGGAACCGTTTATAGCATTTTTTGGCCCAATCCCCCGATTTGATTTAAGCATGTGTTGCATGACTGATGCTCCGTGGCCTTCAGGAGCAGCTGTCTAAGCAGTCTTTTGACTGGCTCCTGGGCGAAGTGAAGCAGAAGTTCATGCCGCTCGCCTCAGCGATACGGGTCACAGCGGCGTCCATTCAGCGGCCAAGGGCCCTTTTATAGATCCTTTTAACTATTGGTCATATTGGTTGGTTGATTCATAGAGGAAATCAATTGGTTGATTCACAGAAGATCGTAACCCCTAAGTGAACAAACATAATAATAGGCCCAGGTAGTGGCGTAGGTATATGTGTATAATATATACTGTATATATTATAATATTAATTAGTACAGAAACGACTCCTCATGACCCCGCAATTATCTGTTCTCAAAGTCGACACCTGGATGGTGTCCACTCGTTTTGGGCGGCCAAGGAAATCCCTGGCACACCCAGGCCATGGCGCATGGGCTGATGGGTGGGCTCGGGTTGCTCCGGGGGTTGCCCCAGGTTCCAAAAACCGATCGGTGCCCTGTTCTTTCAACCAAGGACTATAGGCCAGGACCTTCAAAGTGACCCTTTGATATCCCAGGATGAGGTCACTTAGGTCTGTACCAGGTCACTTAGAGACTCCAAAGAGGTCACTTTGAGGGAGTGCTGGAGCTTGTGTTTGTAGCATGGATACGAACTCCCGCCGTGGGGTCGCACCAATGGCTCGCACCAAGTTGTGACGCCCGTGCACAGAACAGGACTCCCCTTCCACAAGGCTTCCATGGGTGGCTTGTCATGCAGATGGAAGGACGGCAAGCCGCGGTCGGAACCCATCCATGATCGACCCGTGGCTTTCTCATGCCGATGGCAGCCATGTGGGAGAGCATCCAAGAAAAAGGATACTAGACGACGAGTGGCCCGAAAGCATTTTTCATCACGTAGGAAGTCAGAGTGCGAGTTATCTGTTAAGTGTGTTATAAGTGTTCAGTGTGAAGTGTTAAGTCGAGTGTGTTGAGGCAGTGTGTGGGTCTCTGTGTGTGTGTATCTATGTCTGTGTGTGTATGTGTCTCTCTCTGTATGTCTTTCTGAAGCGCAGGAACACCTGTTTTCTGCAAGTTCTTCACCTCTCGAAAGTCACCTCCGCGTAGTAAAGTTGTACTACAAAGTCGCCAGTTCTCATCTTCCAGCTCCACAGATTGCTCCGTGGACTAAAGTTCTACTACCAAGTCGCCAGTTCTCATCTTCCAGCTCCCCAGATACTCCGCGTACTCAAGTTGTACTACCAAGTCGCCAGTTCTCATCTTCCAGCTCCCCGGATACTCCGCGTACTAATGTTGTACTACCAAGTCACCAGTTCTCATCTTCCCACTCCCCAGATACTCCGCGTACTAAAGTTGTACTACCAAGTCGCCAGTTCTCATCTTCCAGCTCCCCAGCTACTCCGCGTACTACAGTTGTACTACAAAGTCGCCAGTGCTCATCTTCCAGCTCCCGAGATACTCCGCGTACTCAAGTTGTACTACCAAGTCGCCAGTTCTCATCTTCCCACCGCCCAGCTACTCCGCGTACTAAAGTTGTACTACCAAGTCGCCAGTTCTCATCTTCCAGCTCCCCAGCTACTCCGCGTACTAAAGTTGTACTACAAAGTCGCCAGTTCTCAGTTCTCAGCTTCCAGCTCCACAGATTGCTCCGCGTACTAAAGTTGCACTACCAAGTCACCCGTTCTCAGCTTCCAGCTCCACAGCTACTCCGCGTACTAAAGTTGTACGACAAAGTCGCCAGTTCTCAGCTTCCAGCTCCACAGATTGCTCCGCGTACTAAAGTTGTACTAGAAAGTCGCCAGTTCTCAGCTTCCAGCTCCCCAGATACTCCGCGTACTCAAGTTGTAGTACCAAGTCGCCAGTTCTCATCTTCCAGCTCCCCGGATACTCCGCGTACTAAAGTTGTACTACAAAGTCGCCAGCTCTCAGCTCCCAGCTCCACAGATTTCTCCGCGTACTAAAGTTGTACTAGAAAGTCGCCAGTTCTCAGCTTCCAGCTCCCCAGCTACTCCGCGTACTAAAGTTGTACTACAAAGTCGCCAGTGCTCATCTTCCAGCTCTCCAGATACTCTGCGTACTAAAGTTGTACTACAAAGTCGCCAGTTCTCAGCTCCCAGCTCCACAGATTGCTCCGCGTACTAAAGTTGTACTAGAAAGTCGCCAGTTCTCAGCTTCCAGCTCCCCAGCTACTCTGCGCACTAAAGTTGTACTACAAAGTCGCCAGTTCTCAGCTTCCAGCTCCACAGATTGCTTTCGCGCGCTCGACACGCACGATCTCCGCAGAGGGTTGCGCGCACAGCCGGCAAATCGCACTCTCGCCTGCATTTCGCGCACTCGACACGCACGATCTCCGCAGAGGGTCGCGCGCGGACCGGACGAATCGCACTCTCGCCTGCATTTCGCGCACTCGACACGCACGATCTCCGCAGAGGGTTGCGCGGGCACCCGGCAACTCGCACTCTCGCCTGCATTGCGCGCACTCGACACGCACGATCTCCGCAGAGGGTTGCGCGCACACCGGACAAATCGCACTCTCACCTGCATTTCGCGCACTCGACACGCCCGATCTCCGCAGAGGGTTGCGCGCGCACCGGACAAATCGCACTCTCACCTGCATTTCGCGCACTCGACACGCACGATCTCCGCAGAGGGTTGCACTTTCGGTTGACGCTGTTCGTCCCGCACTCCGCCTTTAAGAGAGAATTTATAAAGTGGGGAAATGTTTTTTCATTAGGACATCTCCCGTGCTAGTTTTCCACACTCACACTTGCCTACTCATTGCATGCTTGCATAGTCATTGCGTGCTTGCATACTCACCCTTGCATATCATGCTTGCATACTTACACTTGCATACTTTGACACTGGCATACTTCGCACTTGGATGCTTTCGCTCTTCCAGTGTGTGTGTGTGTGTGTGTGTAAGTGTGAGTGTCGAAGTGTAAATGTTCAAAGGATTTTCCGGAAGAACCCTTCGCAATGCTTTCGGGAATAATTACTGTAAAAAACCGGGTGTCTTTGTTCCTCGTGTGACACGAAGGGTCTTCCAGCCAAAGATGGCACCCCGTAGAGGAAGACTTGTGAAGAGGAAGACGTGTGAAGCATACCGGATAGGCATACCGAGGACTTTTTCCCCTGCATTTTTTCCAGACCTATTGATGTTTCTTTTCCCCCGCATACCGAGGCCTCGAGGTCCGTATTTTTCACGCCATTCCCGGTCCTCTCGCTCTCGGTAGGGGCCAGACGTTCACATGACATGGTGCAATATATCATACCCATATCTCTAGTGAACCATAGTGAACCTAAATTCAAAGCAAGTCGCTTTGTAACACCTTTTCGCAGCCGCTATCATCAGCTGCTGGCTAAGAATGATGAAACAAACTGCTGTCAACTTCATACCTGCACTAAGGGCGCTCAAAGACTAGACACGGGCCAAGGATTCTTTGGGTGTCCTTTCCCTAGCCTCTCTAGCCCATGTTGATCTATTTCAAGATATTTGAAACTCTAAAATCCGCCAAACCGTTCACACCAAATGCCCTTCTTAAATCCACTGGACTTTCCGTCGAAACTCCTCCGTCCGGGCCGTTCGGGCTGTTCGGGCTGGCTTCTTCGTCTCGCAAGGCGAGGTTATCGGCACCTTGGCGGCGCAGAGCAGGGGAGCCCCAGTCGGAAGGGATGTTGGAGCTCCAGAACTCCAGGACCATCCAGTCGGGGTGCGCTGTGTGGGGTGCGCTGTCTGGACCGTCCTGCCGTACACCCCGATGGTCGGAGGGTCCTGGTATGGGGATGATCAATAGGAAGACACGACCAGCACCACCCAGTTCGGGTGGTTTATAGACCCCCGTGAAGTACTGTAACCACCCGAACTGGGTGGTGCTGGAGGAAGACATTAGATTAGATGTTTTTATATTGCTTTATGCTGTTTTTGTTGGAATTATTTCTAAGTCATGAGAGTGAAATCATTGGAACAGGGCTGTTGTAACTGAAGGTCTCGCTTGGCCGCTCGTCGAGTCTACTACACCCACGGTGGGGTGAGAAGCGGTCCATCCAAGATAATACATTGAAGGTTCTGGGCAAAGGGATCCTTTGATTCTCTTTTGCTGATATTTGATTTTATTTGATATCATGTCTGACAAACAGAAACGACAAACATGAATAAAAGCAACACAAAATAGACTAATTAATCTAACCTGTTTCATATTGATTGGGGAGCTCCAGTGGGAGCTCCAATGTTGACACACTCCCATAGTGAATAGCAGCTGAGAAGGCAATCCCACCGCCTCAGCACTCTACGAACAGCCGAACGCCGGGCTCCGCTCCGGCGCAATCCCCAGCAGAACCGTTCGGGTGAGGAACCCTCTACCTGTTGGACAAAACACAGTGCCTTCGATTCGCCGTGGCCATTGGCATTTGGTGTTTTCAAATGGGTTTGCGCCGGTGTTGAACCCGTTGTTTAAGCACTCTACTTGAGGCGCTCGAGCTCACTTCAAGGTCGCCTGCCACAGTGGTGCCAGAGTAACTCGTAGTGACCCAAAGAGTCGCCGGTAGCCCGTAGGTGTCAACCCTTGAAGGATGATGTGTTCTTTTTTTCCAGAACATCTATAGCACTTTTCCCCATGTCCCATGATGGGTTCTTGCCCCATTTCCCTTCAGTTGGAACATGAAGGAGCTAACAGCTCGGACCCCATTTCCCGGTCGCCCCCTTCCCCGGAACCTCCGACCACCCATGGTCGCCCCGACCACCCATCAGGTGTCGGCGAGCCGGCCACGCAGATGACGCTGGCGGGGTGGAGGGCCGGAGGTGAAGCAGCCGGCCCCTAGTAGCGTCCTTGCTCCTAGTAGCGATGCCAGGAGCCCTTAGTAGCGTCCTTGCTCCTATAGTAGTAAGAGCCCCTAGCAGCTTCTTGTTGCTAGTAGCTGTCCAGGGCTGCCGAGATGATCACAGATGTTCGCTGGAATATTCGCTGGACGTCTTGTGAGGATCGGTGAGGTGGTTTGATGGAGTTCGTTGTTGACCATTAAACGGCCTTCAACGCTTAGGATGTTCACTTCAGCCATCAGAGTTATAATATGGGTCAGTTCACTCTTGACCCTCCAAGCAAGCCTTTGTGACGCCCCCCTTCCCCCCGAGAATGGGGGGCGTTTCGCCCACACCCACGGGCCTTTGGTGCATCACCTTCCACTTCGTCGCTTCGCTGGCAGAACACCTTCCACTTCGCCGGGGTGGGTGCCAAGAACGTCACCCTGGGCGTGCCGCGCCTCAAGGCCAGGGCGGTGAACAGCGCAGGGAAACCCGGGCGCAGGGCTGATGAGGTGAGTGACCCAACATGTGGGGTGACCGACCCAACAGATGCCCCGGAAGATGTCTCCATTCTGAACCAACCAGGCAAATCACAGATTTGGTCCAATCCTCACATTGTAGTGATTCGATGCATGTTCAAAAATGTTTAGATATCTTTAAGGCACAGGGATTGTGAGTGATTCGCAGTAGGTCAGTACGCACAGTGGGGAATTACCAGTGTTTGTGGCTGGTGAGTGCTGCCGGGTGTGAGCTTGTAGTTGCCTGATGTTTCCTGAAGGGAGGAAGGTGCATAGGCCATGAATCTTTGAGAGATGTATCGACTGACCTCATGCTCCCACCCTCATGACCGAAAGCACAAATACATACTACTCAATATATTGGAGGTACCCTCGTTTACTGGGAGCCACCGCTCGAAAACAGTCTACAAACCTGTATCTATAGACATTTTTCATGCACATGGTTGTACCATGTTGTACCTGTTTTGCGCTCACCAAAACTTCCGTCTTCGGAAGATCTGCAACCCGGACGCTTCGAAAGGTTGCTTTCCGCTTCGACGTGGCGCGGCGGTGAGGAGCTCATCAACGTTGCGAAGAAGGTGAAGACACCTTCGCTGGTCAGAGGAGCCCAGCCAGACCTTGCTGGGAGGGTCTCGGGAGGCCATCGAGATGGTGGCAGCAACCCAACACACACCCCTACCGCCTACCTATGGCAAGAGGATCATGCCCTGCGTTTCGAGCATCCATATGGCTGGGTGATGGTCGAACCTATGGGGCGCCCCAATAGGCTCACCAGAGAGGTTTCCCAATTGGGCTAAGACCATTATGGTTTTTGGCCGGGAACTGTGCCAAAACCGGGTGTGCCACATCAGACAAGGCCAGCAAACTTGATGTCGTGAAGTTCTGGATTGATTAGCCTCTAAGTGTTTCATCAGGATATGAATTCTGAGCTTGGCTCGTTGCTTGCCTATGCTTGCCTACTTGAGTTCTCTTTGTGAAAGAGGTCGATCCTGTATAGACAGAGAAGGCTGGAACTCCTTAGATTTGCGCCCGTGACCTGTCGCCAAGTGAGATCTGGGAGCGCTACCGTAAGCTTGCTGAAGGAGCCTTGCTCCAGAGGAAACTTTGTTGCAAAACTGCAGTGTTTTTTGTTCTGTCCGCCTAGTCCGTTTTTTCTGTGTTTAAGCTTAAATAACCGTCCGGAAGGCTCACAATGTTTCAAAATCATTCAGTGCTGCGGTGCATAGCGGCTAATAGACGCTTGTGATGGACTTTTGGTGTCGGTCATCATTAGTTTTGCCTGCAGTGCATTTTAGCTCACTATGGCAATGTCCTACTTTCCATCGACAGGTCACCACCGAGACATTGTCCGTTTCGGAGTTCCGAGGCCGTCTTCTTAAGCGGCGACCTGGGCCAAGACCAGGCGCGCGCCAAGGACCCGCAGACGAAGACAACCTTGAAAGGTGATGGAAGACAGGCAGACGAAAACACAGAAAGAGTGAGGAACAAAACATGACAACCAGGACCATCCAATGGGTGTCCAATAGACTACCCTACCCTACTTACAGGCCTCCATTGGGCACCGATTCGAAGTGCTAGGAAGGTAATGGTGTATGTTTTTTTTTGGATAGGTTTGCGCCCGGAGAGTGCTTGGTTTTTTTATGTTCATTACTATAGCTTCTATTATATAATATATTATCCCAAGACTTAAGGCTTCGCCTTTAATCGAACAACCAATGTACCCACCAAGAATTGCGCACTTGACCCAAACCAAGTCACTGCGTGTATGCAGGCAGATTTGAGAAGGCACGATTGCCCTTGCTTCCCAGTTTCAAAGTTTTTGTATCTCCAGCTACTTATTAAGTAAAACATTGGATATTGCCAAGTAAGCCAACCATTTGTAAAGTCAGTATGGAAGAGGAACATTGTTTCACTGACTTGACATCCAAGTTATACTTGCTACAAATGCAAGTGCAACCACATTTCTAAGATTCATCCACCACCTTTTCTCAAAACCATGCAGAACATTGCAGACATATATATATATATACATACATATTTGTGACCACTTACTTGGAAGATTTGGAAACGTCTTTCGCTGGCAAACTGTTGCCAATGTGTGCCAAGGCCTCCCCTGATCGACCAGGGTCGCTGCACTGGGTCGCTCTCGGTGAGAAAAATACCCTCCTTCGGGAGCACGAGCCACTAAAAACGTCACAACACGAGCCACTGCCAGTGCACGACAGAGCCGTGTGTACGTGTGCAGACGTGTGGTTTGTGGTTTGGACGTGTAGGATGTGCAGAGCATGTTGGAGCACACCACCTTGGAGAAGGTCACCTCCTTTACCCAGGCAGCGCAGTTCCGGACTCTGTCGGACTCCGAGGGACTCGTTGAAACAGGTTGACACCGATGCTTTCCTATCAGCTTGTTACGGTGGGCAGGGAACACCCAGCAGCAAGAGGTCTTTCTGGGAAAAGGAGCGGCCGGATGGCAGGCGAGTGAGGTGGCTGGTAATGGTTTGAACGTTGCTTAGCAGGGAATGAGGGAATGACCCCTTAACTTACTTTAGATACCTTATAAATCTGTCATTCCTTACTTGGCAAATGTCAGTACTAGCTCTTTTGGGGTGAGGATTTGGGGTGACTTTGGGGAGACAAACCACAGTTGTCGTATAGGTTGAAGATGTTTTTGTGTGTGTTTTTGTATGGTCTTCAGTCTGTGACGGATTAGTTACTTTAATAAGAGGTTTTATTGATAAAAAGGTCGTTTGAGGTGGGCATGCTGGTCCGATGCCACATGTCATGGAGTCGTCCGTGAATGTTCTTTTCATACTCTTGGACATTTTGCAGCTGCCCAAGTTGGTAGGCTTGTCCAATTGACTACAAAAGAACATGAGTGAGAAGGCACCCCCTCTCACATAGGTTTCAGCCTCCCTCGCTCCAAACCATGAGTTGTGGCCTATGAATTCATGGGACCCAGATCTTCATCTCGCACAGATCTTCTGGGACCCGGACCCAGAGCACACGCTGGTGGAGGAAGACAAGGAGTGGGTCAGCCTGTGCGCCCGGAGTGGGTCAGCCTTCAGGAAGATTCCTCTGGTGAACAGCTGTTTTTTCAGCCGCATGTTCAACACACAAATCACTATCACCTGTAAAATCCTTGAAAGTGTTTTCTCATCGTGCGCGGCCACCCCCGGGCCCCATGCCCGGGCATGGTCCGTCCAGATCTGTAGAAGAAGCACCACACTTTTTTGCTTTGAACAAGTCAATCTCTTCGGCCCACCAATTAAAGAACAAGCAAGCCTCCCAGACTGAAAAACTCTGGTGACTTAATTACTATTATGAGTCTTTTGTTACAAGGATTTTGAGGGGAATCCATGAGGCGCCCCAACGGGAACTCCTGGGAATTTGAGCCAAAATCAGGTGATCAATTTTACTAGATGACAAATTCAAAGTACTATGAGGGAAACGATGAACAGGTCTTTGGAAAGAGAGCCAAACTCGTTGAACGAGAATGGAAGTACACATGCTTGCTGCGATAGGGTCAGGCGAGGTGGCGGGCATGGCAGGTCAGGCAAACAGCTGCACCCAGGTGGCGATGTCATCAGAGCTGCGAAGGCTTCGACTGCTGCCAGACAGACTTGTTAGTTGCCACAAACAGCCAGCCAGGCACAAACACGAGAGGCAGCCAGGGGTTGGGGAGGGGTGGGCATCTAGTCAACAAAAAGACACTTATGCCGCCCCAAAACTACGATCTTAGGAAGCAAGAAAGTCCCGGATACGCTCGATGGCAAGTAGTAATGCCCTTGTTTCTAGGAGCGAAATGCCAGGAGTTAGCAAATTCGTAGCGTCCGACCGCGCTGTTCGTATCAGCTCCTAAGCTGTGCAGCCTCCAAAGGCCGCTTGAAGCTGCACCGTGCCGTGATGTGTTGCTCCTCGCTGAACAGTCTAGGTACCGTTCGTTTTTGGTGCCTGAGCCGAGGTCGCGGGGAAAATACCGGTTGTATTTGCCCAGCCAAAAGCAGGAATTTGGCAGCCGGTACACTCTAATTTCTTGCAGTTCTAGGGGCAAAAGGTGAAATAACTGCAACTCCAACTTGTTCACGGTTGCTCTTCCACCACCTGTAGCTATGGCAACTTTGTTGTAAAGCCTCGTTCAGAAGAGACGACCAATAAGACTCATACAGAAGCCGCTCTGACATCTCCTTCAAGCATCAGACAGAGCCATGAGGGCCATGAGCCCACTGCTTCAAGGCCTATAATGCCCAAAGTGGAAGCTCATCCACCCATTTGTCCAGCAAAACTTGGATCAACACTCTTCAAACTCAGTGGGCGAGCCATACACGTCCTGGAAGCCAGGAGAGCGCACCAAACACGCCTTCTCTTTCGCACACTGGAGCGGTACTTGTTGTAACCATCGAGTTCAATCTGTAAGCCCTGCCAGCCCTGCCCAACAGCGGTTTACTCCAGTGGTATGTGTTCTGTTTTATCATGCATCCTCCTAAAGGCGCTGAGCATTCGCCGAAGGGGGGCCTCACCAGCAATGCGCACCAGCAAGGCAGGCAACGTCGACTGCATGCTACATGGCTTCAACACCGCACTGCATGCTACATGGCCCAGCAGGAGGGAGTTTCTGGCAAAAGTTCCATGTATGTCTCCCCTTCAATCGGCACAATACGGGCTCCTTGAAGGCACGGATGACACTTATAGAGAAGGAAAGCATTCTCCAGCATAAGGATATAAGGTGACGCAAAGGTCGGCATCCATGGCGCAGGGCTGGCGCGGGGCTGTCGGGTGCCGCAGCGGCTGCCTTTCCCCAGTGCGTCAAGGGCGGCCACTGGGCCACTTTTGCACCTCCTTTGAGCCCTGTTGACCTGCCAAACCAAAGTGACCAACACTGAGGCCCTTATTTGACCTGTGAGCCTATATGACTTCCCACACGGATCACTTGGCCTGGCGGCCTGGCTCCAGGTACTACGAACTCCCGGATGAGGACGAAAACCCCGAGCGCTGTGGGCCCTGGATCCTCGGCCCAACCGGTAGGGTCGGGCACCGACGCACCGTCGATGGGTTGAAGAGGTGGCCGGGCCCCTCCGTTGGGATCTGAAGGGACGTGTCGTCCTTCAGATCAGAGGCTGATGCGAACAGGTCCTACCGCCTTAGCATGTCCTAGCACTTCCTGTTTGGGTGCCCTGTTTGGAGGCCTTACTGTAACAATTAAGTAGGGTAGGGTAGTCTATTGGACACACATTGGATGATCCTGGTATAGCTACAAAAGGTGACTTTCCTCCACAATGTATTAGATATATATAGTACTTTCTTGCAGACCCATGCAGGACTGCTCAGATGTATGAACCAACACTGACTGAGGATCAAACGGCCTTATTATGTCTCTTTGGGTGTGTTTGAGGATCTAAGCTCTTGGACCAAGGACATGGTGCTCTTTTCTGTGGTCAGGCATTGGTTGTCCTACTCCATATGAAGAGGGCCGGCAACAAGTCAATTCCTATATATTCTAGCACTTTCCAACAAGAGTGTGTTAGCGGGACCCTTTGTCGAGACACTACCACCCAGCTTGGCTTGGGTATCACAAAAAGGATCTGCAGTACTTTTGGTTTCAATGGTACAAGTGAGCCACAAGAACATTCGACGTCTACCGTTTCTTTGGCCACTGGTTTGCAAGCTGCCCAGCTACCCCTTTTTTGAGTTTGCTAAAGCTACCCAGCTACCCAGCTACTGACTGGTTTGCTATATAATTCTTTGAGCCTCCCAAACATCCAACAAATTCCACCTCCACCGGGCCATGTCGCAATATTTCCTAGGCTCTTGCGGATCCAGTTGAGCAACAAGGCGGTCGACAGCGGTGTTCACGGCGATTTTCTCGTGGAGTTCCAAAGATAGCATGAAAAAAGAGGAGAAGAATCCATCGTGGGGAATGCTATCTTAATGCGGAACCATATAGTTCTTAAGTGGTCTTAATTCATGCTTAATGGATGGGATTGCAACACCAAACGGTTTGAGGCGGCAGCAAAACAGCGACGAAACCTAAGAGATCACCAGGTCATTATAGTGATAGTATGTGGTCACCTAGCCAAATTAAGAAATTCAGAAGATGACATCATTACTGTTAGACAAACCATGACAGGGTGGTCTTTCTTTCATGACCCATACCATAGCGACATCATGAACATGACAGTCATGGTAGATCCACCTAAGCCGCATCCAGGTTGAAGCCCTCATTCTTCGTGCCAGGTTATGACCGATAAGAAGCTCACCGTCCGAGAGGCCGACCATTCGACAGAATTGTCATGAATTGTTTGTGGTGCGAGGTCAGGGTTTCACTCAGCTTGCCAACATCCGCTAGACATATGATGAAGCGATCCGTATGCATTGGTTGAAGAGTTTAAAAGGGCGACGGCGATGACAATGATACCCAAGATGTACCAAATAGTGTATCAAAACAACATACTCATGCAGAGGAGGTCATGTCGAGATGTTCTTTATCCCTGCTGCAGCAGCTGGCAGATAGCGCTTGCACGGCCTACAGAGATCTCCTCTAGGTTTTTATGTGGCTGTGGGTAGTAGTTCGTGATTGTTCGTGTGCGATGGATAAGCGCCGGTCGACAAGGAGCACTGCTTATATATGCACATTGAAGTTTGTACAAATGACTTCACATCGAGAGTACATTGAACCACCTCGATCACGTGTAGCACCCAAGTGTTCCCCGCCTCCATCAGAACGTTAAAAAAACATGCTCAAAGCCAAAAAAGAAAGAGAACATCCCCCAGGGTGGATGGGATTTGGTCGAAACCGCCCCTGAAACCGATCGCCCGAGTCCCCTGCGGTGTTGTGCCGGGTCCGGTCCGGCCATCGCTGACCGGGACCTCGCCAGGTGGGTGAGAGGATCCTGCGAGACTTCATGAATGACCTGGATTGCCGGGAGCGCGGAAAGGGCGGAAAGGTCGAACGAGAAGCCGGCAGTGGGGAACAGTTTGGAAGCCACGAAAGGCACTATAAAGTACTAATTGTACTACTAAGTACTACTAAATTACTACTATAAATACTAGACTAAATAAGAAAAGACTTTAAGGAACCTAATAGCGGCCTCCAACCTACTAGCGATGGCCTATCATTGTAAAATAGAAGGCACAGATCATGAGTGGGAATAGTTGTCTTTAATCTCAGCAGGATTTCTTTCTCCATCAGTAGGACATGGATGGGGCGGTATTCTTTGCCAGTGAGGGAGTCCACTATATGGACGTGGTGTTTCTGGACTGGATTCCGCCTCTGTCCCTACTCGCCATGGATTCCATGGCTTTCTGACCACAAAGAGGAAGACCGACCCAGAATGGTCGACGCACCACCATCCGGAACGGATGATGATGTGGTTTTGGTTTCCTTTGGCACAGTAGAGAGATATATTATGAGTTGAAGTCGCGGTTCGGCCTGGTCCCCAAGAAATCTCACGAAAAGAAAAGAAGCGTGAATCCTCAGCTTGGTGAAGGTTTGGTTTAGGTCGCATCATTGAATTAGATTTTAAACTTGTCCAGCCCCACGTTGTCCAACCACGTGAGCAGCTTGGCCGCAGTCGGGCGACCGAGAAAGGGACGTCTGACGTGACCGCTCGCTCGCTCGGACACACCGACGGACACCTGCTGATGCGAACGGCGGGCGACCACGGTTGACGAGTGAGGCATCTTCACGGACGACAACGCAGAGGAGTTGGTCTTGCGCATCCGCTTGCTCAAGGCCGTGATTTAGCTCGCGTCTTCGCCAAGTGAGGCCAAAAGGAAATTGGGGCGACCGCTCCAAAAAACGACGTGGTTGGTTGGTTTGACTGAAAGCAGGGGTCAGAGATGGTCAGATAGTTTTAACATGTTTTAAAGCTGTATGTGGACAGCTGCTGAATGTTTGAAAGAAGAATGTTTTGTTCCATAAAAGTAAAGAACTTGGAGAGCACATATCATACTGCAAATTGTGGTGTTTCGGGCTGTAGGATCTATAACAGGGAGGGGTTCGACAGAAAGGATCTTGTTCCTTTTTTGCGGAATGCGGATCTCCTCTCCGTGGTATTCCTCTTCATCATCTTCACAAAACCCTGAAGTGGTGGAATAGCAAAGAGAATGGTGTTCGAATGCCAAGACCAGTTGCATGCCTCAAGTGTTTGAATACAAGGCATGCCTCGTTGCATGTAATCACCGGTCCATCGACCCGGTCCGAAGGCCGACCCCCGGTCGTCGCCAGGAAGCCGACCAAGTGGGTGCGGTGGGGGCCCAGGTCCGGAAACGCGGTGAGGATGAAGGTGTTTGAGCGGTTTGAGGATGAATTTTGTGCTTCTTTTTTAGAGCTTTGAGACCATCATTTTGCTGTGTTTTGTGTTGTTCTCCTGATTTGGGTGATGTTTGTTTTGCCCACGGTTTCTTTATGTCTTTGTTCAAGTTACAAATTCAAATTGCAGCCCAGCCAGCCATCTCCAGTCGCCAGTCGCATCGAAACTCATGAGATCTCTTGAGAGTCGGCATCCGTCGCTGCGAGGCCGTAACGGTCCGTAACGCCGGCGGCATCGGAAGCCTTCCATTTTGGCGGTCTGGGTCACTCCATTGGGTCGAGTTGGGAGAAGTCCCTACGCGTTGCCATCCCGATGGCCGGTTCGGCTTTGATGATGGCCGGTTGGTTGCCGGCCCGCCTGCGCCTCCTTCTTTTGCTCGAGGGAAGCATGAGTTGAGACGTGGTGCAAAGCGGGGAAAGCAGGTGAAAAGCTGCGTAGCAGTGCGACGACCTCTTCAGATTATCACTATATAAGTACCATTATTATCTATTATTGATCTCACCCACTGGACCACTACACATGGTCAAGACATGTCAAGACTATAGTTCCTTGCAAAGAAGCTGATATGACTGCTTGTTGATTCAATTGTTTGATTCCCATGAAGCTAGTCGCCTTCTTTTTCTGGGCCCTTTCCGGGTCGCAGCACCCCAAACCATTCAAGACGTATGATGTATTCATATGTATTCTATATAGACTTATTATATAAATTCCAAAGACAAACAACCAGCAAAGCTCAACCACACACACTTACACTAGCGTGCGAGCATCGCAAGTGGATCAGATCCACTCACATTAGGACACCAGAGTGCTTATGTACCCATTGTGTCCCATTGTTACAGTAGATCACCATAGATTCTTGGGTCGTATTCACGACATTGTTACTTCTTTTTCGGGAGAAACAACAAAACCCACGGTTATCTCCGGTTTGCAGTTCAGCCATCGCGCCATATCCTATTTGCTCCGAACCTTTTTTGCATTTCCATTTATACTTGGAGCCATTCCAAGAGAAGTCCCATTTCAGTTCATCCCAATGCACTTGAGATATCTTGAGATCGCTCAGCTCGCTCAGCTAGCTCGACCTATCCCCGACCTATCAGTCGTTGCAGCTGAAACTACTTCGGCTGCCATGGCGCTCAGCCTCGGCCACAGCCGTTTGGGCCTGGCGCTCCATGCCGTGGCAGCTTGGGCCAAGGATTTATGATATTTTTTTGCAATACTCTGCAGCCTCCATCTCGATTCATCCTCTCACTTGTAACATCTCCACCATAAGGGAAAGTCATGTTAGTCATCATTGGTCAAAAAGGGCGTCCGACACCCGTTCGACACCCGCCCGCAGGTGCTTTGTGCGGCCGACGTGGCGCCGGTCACGGTGGCCCCCGCGGCCGTGCTCGACGAGATGCTGGGCGCCGCGCCCACCACGGTGGACCCCGACGCGCCGCCGCCGCCGCTGCCGCCCGGGCTCTTCCCGCCCACGGTGGCACCGCCGGCGGCGCGGCGGAGACCGGGGGGGAGGGCAGTAGGATGCAGAACTGTTAGAAATGCAGGTGGGAAAATGGGGAAGAAGAACTTGAACAAGAGTGTGGGGAGAGATGTTCAAGAGAGATGTTTGGATGGTACAGGATGGATTGCCAAGGTGTGACTTGCATCACATGGATTCAGGCAGCTGTTGAGTTGGGTGATCCTTGACCCAGGAGGACGGAAGAACTGGGGCTTCTGGAAGAATCAGACTGAAGTTGATTACCATCAGTGGGAAGCTAGAGGGACGAAGGATGAATTCAACTGTGAAGCTTGGATGGGAAGCCTTGCTTAAGTGGTTCAAGAGTGGAAACTATTTGGCATAAAGCACTCTGAAAGTAGTGGTGACGTTTGTTCTTGCCTTGCCAGGAAGTTGCACACTCTGGCACCCTCAAACGAGTGCTTGTTTTTTTTTGCAGTTCAGAAACCGAAAGAAAGCCAGCAACTGTCGAACTTGGAATGGTACCATTTACTCAATTTACTCCTGCGTATTCTACCGTATATGAATTATGGTTGGTGCATGTTGGCGCCTAGCCAAGCCTCAGAAAACTGCTGCTGGGATGTGGGAACGTATGTTGTTTATCAGTCCAAAGAAAGCCTGAAAGATCTCGTTCAAGGTTGGCAGATTCATATCATGCACTCAATATTCACAATGCCCTGAACACTGAACACAGACCACACATGACCCCCCCACCAGCACTTTCCCTTTTTCGTTCCACTTGGGTCGCTTTCCTCTCCTTCCCTCACCCCCTCGACCGCTGCCGCCACTGGCCTCGACCGCTGCCTGGCCACGCCGCTTTGAGGCCATCGTGCCGAACGCGCCGGCCTGCGCGTCGGATCTGACGAGTCTGATCTTCACTGCCGCTCGGGCCGACGGATCTGACCCCCAAGGATCGAAGACCCCACACGATCGAGGGAAGGTGCGTTCTTCTTCGTTTGCTGCTTGGGACAAGTTTGCTGTCCACCTCTAAACCACTTGATCAAGTGCGGGCCCTTAATGTGAAATCCAGAAGAATCCTAGAACATTTTGATTTGAATTGGAAATGAAAGGACAGGACATTAAAGGAAAATGAAAGGAAAGGACAGGAAATTGAAAGGATAATGAAAGGAGTTCTGTGTTGATCCCAAAAAACGTTCCGAATAAATAAAGTGTATATAGTATCCATCTAACTCTATCGTGGGCTTGGGGTGTCACAGGTCTTAAACAAAGGATAGGTCGTTTGTTCGACGGATGCTTGATCCGAATGGGATTCATGTCTACTACCAGCGTCGACTTAGGGACAAGATGCTTCAAGCAACCAGCAGATTGTCGACTGTTTTCTTATTTGTAAGATTCTAGCTGTAGACTTTGAGCACTGACAAGTGTCAGAGGGCACAAATCGCATCCACAAAGACCAACGCATGGGCGAGGTGACTGTCATCGCCAAGTACATCATTTGGTCCACCCAGTACTGCTCACAGCCCAATGTCGCTTGACATGGCGTTTGCTGTCCGCTGATTTGGAGGTCGATCGTGAAAGTGTCAATGATCTCACCAACCCTTCAAAAAAACATAGTAGTGGGTCAAGATCCCTTGCAAAGTTGCTGAAATCCTCTACCAAGTGGTTTGCTCTTCCATGATTCCATGGTGTGTTTGAAGGAGTGCAAGTCCCAAGAGTGTCAAGCATTTGTCAATGCAGGGACGTATGTCTCACCAGTGACGAACGTATGTCTCATGCATTCCAACATCGACAATGAAATTCGCGGTATCGGTTGGTATTGGGGAATCGGGGGGGTCACATGTTTGGTTTGAGGTGTTGACAGACTTCTTCAACGAACGACGCTTCTGCTGACTTCTTCACGACGCTTCTGCTTGCTGCTCTTCAAAGCACGCTTGTGACATGCATGAACTTTGCCTCACCATGCCTCACATGCTTTTGCTTTTCTGAATCGACACTGTGCAATGCGGATGCACTGACTCTACCTCGACGTTTGGCTGGTTCAGCATCATCGAATGGTTTCATATGAGCGTCGTTCAAAAACCCACCTCTTCCTTGTTAGTGATCGAATTTCAAAGGCTGATTTCGAGTGTGCTCTCACTGCAGTCGCGAAAGGTTCGCGAAGGTCCTGCGAAAGGTCTGCGCAAGTCATGTTGGTGACCTGGCCACGCTGCAAGAACAATTGCTCTTCAGACTTCCGATTGCTTTTTCCCGGGTTGGGAAAAAGCAAATTGGAAATCTGAAACAATTTTGCTTTTTCCCGGGCCGGGAAAAAGCAAATTGGAAGTCTGAGCCTTTTGCTTTTTCCAGGCCTGGGAAAAAGCAAATTGGAAGTCTGAACCATTTTGCTTTTTCCCGGCCCTGGAAAAAGCAAATTGGAAGTCTGAGCAAACTGGCCTGACTGAGCCGTCTCTTGTTCATGGAGGGTTGGGCAATCAAAATGGCTTGGTTGGAAGTCTTGACCATTTTGCTTTTTCCCAGCCCGGGAAAAAGCAAATTGAAAGTCTAGATCATTTTGCTTTTTCCCGGCCCGGGAAAAAGCAAACTGGAAGTCTGAGCAAACTGGCCTGACTGAGCCGTCTCTTGTTCATGGAGGGTTGCGCCCAACCAAAAACACACCAGCATGAAAATGGCTTGGTTGGAAGTCTTGACCATTTTGCTTTTTCCCAGCCCGGGCAAAAGCAAATTGAAAGTCTAGACTCTAGACCATTTTGCTTTTTCCCGGCCCGGGAAAAAGCAAATTGGAAGGAGCAAACTGGCCTGGCTGAGCCGTCTCTTTGTTCATGGAGGGTTAGGCGCAACCAAAGCCGGAAGTCTTGATCATTTTGCTTTTTCCCAGCCCGGAAAAAAGCAAATTGAAAGTGTAGGCCGGGAAAAAGCAAATTCAAAGTCTGAGTCAAATTGGGAAAAATCAGTTCATATCAGGGTTACAGGGGAAAATCAAGGAGCTGTGACCTAATGGATAAGGCGCCAGGCTCATAAGCAGAACCTTGCGGGCTCAAATCCCACAGGCTCTGCTTGTTTCCAGGCCGGATTCCAAACTGCAAGCCTGATACATTTTGCTTTTTCCCGGGCCGGGAAGAAGCAAATTGGAAGTCTGGACCATTTTGCTTTTTTCCCGGCCCGGGAAAAAGCAAAATGGAAGTCTGAACCATTTTGCTTTTTCCCGGCTTGGAAAAAAGCAAACTCGAAGTCTGAACCATTTTGCTTTTTCCCGGGCCGGGAAAAAGCAAATTGGAAGTCTGGCCGTTTTGGAAGTCTGAACCATTTTGCTTTTTCTCGGGTTGGGAATAAGCAAATTGGAAGTCTGAGCAATTTTGTTTTTTCCGGGCCGGGAAAAAGCAAATTGGAAGTCTGAGCCATTTTGCTTTTTCCAGGCCCGGGAAAAAGCAAATTGGAAGTCTGAGCCATTTTGCTTTTTCCCGGCCCGGAAAAAAGCAAATTGGAAGTCTGAACCATTTTGCTTTTTCCCGGCCCGGGAAAAAGCAAACTGGAATTCTGAACCATTTTGGTTTTTCCCGGCCCGGGAAAAAGCAAATTGGAAGTCTGGACCATTTTGCTTTTGCCGGCCCGGGAAAAAGCAAATTGGAAGTCTGGACCATTTTGCTTTTTCCCGGCCCGGTAAGCCTTTTGCTTTTTGCCGGCCCGGGAAAAAGCAAATTGGATGTCTGAGCCATTTTGCTTTTTCCCGGAAGTCTGAGCCTTTTGCTTTTTCCCGGCCCGGGAAAAAGCAAATTGGAACTCTCAGCCTTTTGCTCTTTCCCGGCCCGGGAAAAAGCAAATTGGAAGTCTGGATCATTTTGCTTTTTCCCAGCCCGGAAAAAAAGGAAATTGTGAACCATTTTGCTTTTTCCCGGCCCGGGAAAAAGCAAATTGGAAGT